ATGACGGATTCATCCAGGCCAAGTCTAGGAAAAGACGCAACGACAAGACGAACAAAACCGACCAGACGGAGGACTTCCCACCTCTTCCAAAAGCAAAATCCAAATTTAAGTTGACAGTCCCCTCAGAGACGTCTGCTTCATTAAACGTACCAACTTCTTCTGCCACTTGTCCTATGACAGTCGATGCAACGACCACATTTTCGCAATCTTTAGCCATTGCATCGACTGACGGTGCATTATCTCAACAATCTCACGTTGTTGGTGAGTAGACCAGCACAGCACCCCGCTAGGGGCGAATCACGCCCATTGTTTTGCATGATGCGGCCAAGTGGCGAAATCTCAATAAGCTTAGACATTAAGATAGAACGCGTAGTTGCCGTTGATGTGGGAATCATGATTTTGCCGAAAACTGAGGATGACTACCGCAGGATCGTCGCCTGTTCAGGGAGGAGGATGTGCCTCATCATACGTTCCCTCTTCCTTCAGAACCAAGTATTCACGCTGTAGTCAGAGGTATACCCGCAATGTTCTCGGAACAGGAGATCAAAGGGGATATACTCCTCTCCTCACTATCCGACTCAAACGCAGTGGCGGCGCACCCATGCCTTTGGTGGTCGTGATACTGCCCAAGATTGAAAAGTCTCAGTAGCTGCTCAATGAACATGAGCTGCTAGATCTAGCAACCAAAGTTGAAGTTCAAAAGAACTCTAGACTTATTGGGCAGTGTCACAGCTGCCAAAGGTATGGTCATGCGCTGTCTTACTGCACAACACCTCTCAAATGTTTAAAATGTGCTTCCGACCATATAGTACATGTATGCCCCCTCACAGGATAAGAAGAGCGAAGGTATGTGAACTGTGGAGGGGCGCATCCGCCTAATAGGTTCACCCCCAGGCAAAATCTGGAAGTCATGGCGCAAAGACGCAGCAAGTCATACGCGGAAACAGCCGTCTCAACATCTTCGGCTACCTCCTCTGTTCAACCCATTTTGAACACGCAGAATGTGGACCTAGCCACTGCGCAGCCATTGAATGGCTAAGTACAATAGACTACCTGCATTTAACTAAATTCTTTTTTGGAATTGTCTGGGCCTAAGGGATATTCCCAAAAAACGGCAATTTCATCAAACTCTACTGGATGAGAATATAGACGTAACTCTGCTGCAGGAAACATTACCTAATCCGGGCGATCGCTTAGATTTCTCGAATTATGATGTTATACGCGCTGACAGATTGAATGGTAGGGGTGGTGGCTTGGCTGTGCTCGTTAAACGTGGTATTGACTACCACACGCATAAACGCCGAGATGCAAAGCATTGAAGCGGCGTCCATGGTGGTCAATATTACGGGATGCATTCAGCTGAAGATCACCTCGGTGTATGTCAGGTACGGTGCCAGGCTACGAGAGGAGGACTTGGAAGTCCTTCTGGACTGTTCGGTCCTTCTTATTGCAGCAGGGGACTATAACTGCAAACACCGATCATGGCACTCAAGGCTCAACTCTACCATGTGATGCAAAACGGATATCTTATTCACCGCACCAAAAAGCCGACACACTATCCTTTCAGTCATCTTCAAGCACCGGATGTTATAAACTTTGCAATATCTAAAAATTGTAGGTTCAGGTATTGCTTCTAGGATCTTGTATGACATCTCTAGTGAACATCTACCTGTTATTCTGGAGATAGGTAATGGGTATTTCGTGGAGGAGGAAACTCCTTCAAGGAAAATAGTTGATTGGGAACTATACAAGTCATTTCTCAAAGAGTTTCCAAGCATCCCGGTCATACATGATGAGAACGGAATTTATGCTGCTGTGCTTTCAGTGCAGTAATACGGCAGACCTTTTCTCCATGCTGACATCCATCGGAAGATTTCTGAAAAAAGGGCTGCGATTAAGCAAGCAAAAGGGTCTTGTCATCCCGATAACATTCGTAGAGCGACGAATCTCGTCCATGAAGTGAGAATTGCACTCTATGAGTTCCGTAATGAGCAGTGGAGCAACTTTCTGGCGGGGATGCTTGAATCAATTATTCCTCTCTGGAAAGTTGCAAAATGGCTCAGAAACGGAAGGCAAGAACAACTACCACAAATTCATGGTCCTGGAGGCATAGTTTTCAGGACTGAGTATAAAGTGGAGGTTTCTGTTGACGTCATGGCTAGGCAGTCCTCTCCCAATTATGATCCGGACAATGACCTTGAGGAGGAACGATAAATTGTAAGATCTGTCATGAGGTATTTCAGAGCGAATCGCGACAACAACGTCATTGCTAACATCGGTGACTTCTTTTCAGAAGATTCTTCTACGGAAGATTCTTCAGATGAATCTCAGCATAGCACATCAACGGCATCCTCTGTGATTCCGGTTTGCACACTAGCAGAGCTCCAAGGCCACATTAAGGACCTTAAGGTGCGTAAAGCACCTGGATAGGATCAAATCACCAACAAAGCACTGAGGCTGCTTTCGCTCAAGCTTTTGACTTATCTAGTGGCAATAGTCAATGCAATGCTTAGAACTCATTATTTTCCTAAGGCGTGGAAGATCGCTGAAGTCATCATGATCCCGAAAAAGGCAGGTTCGGTATTGCCCCAGAATTACCGTCCCATTAGACTGCTGTCAGCTCCTTCTAAGCTCACTGAAAGGGTGATTTATCGTCACCTTGAGAATTTCTCGTCAGATCACCATGTGATTCTTGACGTGCAATTTTGCTTTCGGTCTGAACATAGTACGTAGCTACAAGCAGTTAGACTGGTGGAGCATGTAACCAGGGGGTTCACCCTGGTATTTTGCTTTTACATGTATCAAACGCATTTGACAAGGTGTGGCAAATGGGCTAATAATAAGCTCATGAAAAATGGTTTTCCATTTTGGCTTCTAAAACTGTTGAAATCTTTTCTAGAAGGAAGGAAGTTTCGGATCAAAATTAACAATGTGTTGTCAACAACACGGCCCGTAATAGCCAGTGTTCCTCAGGTTTCGGTCATAGGACCAATTCTTTATTCACTTTATATACATGACGTCCCTTGCCCCGGCAACTGTGAAGTCTATCTCTATGATGATGACACTGCACTGCTAGCTCAGTCTTGTTCTAGTAACTTGGTTCACGACAGGCTGCAGAATGCGGTGGAGGAAGTATTGGAGTGGGCGGATCGGTGATTGATCAAAATTAATACTTCGAAAACGCAGGCAATCTGCTGTACTAAAAAACGTCGCGGTGCCCCCTCAGAGACATCAGTGAATGGAATTCGTATACCATGGGAATAATCTGTCAGGTACCTTGGACTCATCATTGACAAGGGGTTGACCTGGCAGAAACATACTGATATTTTGAAAACAAAGTTCCAAATTACCTTCCGGCAGCTTTATCCTTTGTTCTGCAGAAATTCAAAATTAAGTTTGATCAACAAGATTCAGTTATATAAAATGGTTATAAGACCCGCAATCACCTACGCATGCGCGGCTTGGTGTTTTCTTGCCAAGACGCACATGCAGAGACTGCAAGTCCTGCAAAACAGAATCCTATACACAATCACCATCGCCCCTTGGTACGTGTCAAATCGGACCAATCACAGAGATCTTGATATCCCATATCTAAGGGATCATGTAAGATAACAGGCACAGCAGCGTTATAATCAAGCCGAATCGCACATAAACCCTCTGTTGCGTGATTCAGTAGACTACACAGTCGAGCAAGATTCAGACCAGCCAAAACTATTTTAGTATACAAAACCGATCAAAATTATTTTTTGGAGTTACAGAATTATTCGAGTAGTCAAAGCAATAATGCTTAAGCTATTTCAAATGATTTACTTCTTTTCTTTGCTCTATTTCTTCCTTCCTTTCTTTCCTTCTTTCACTTTTTCCCTTAAACATGTTTGGTATCTGGGTAGCCAGACCTGACAGACTAACAGACCGACGAGAGTTTTAACTAAGAGCAAAGGTCCACCGGACCGCTCTGACGAACAATGACGAATAGTATCAAACAGATTGTCCAAGTACGTAACAAACACTTACTCAAACACTTCTTTTATATATCCTGACTGTAAAAAGAAAACATTGAAAAAGAAATTTTGTAAATAATGTTCTTTCAATGAGCAAAGCAAAGCAGAGTTTTATTTATCGAATTCGATACATAGTTTCCCTATTCACTTTCAAATTCAAAGTTCGACTGATCGCAATAATATTTATTTTTTGAGTTGTCAAATGGTAAAAACTTGAAGGATATGCGTTTAAAAAAAGAACTTTCATTTCTTGGGACATCATTTATGTGGTATCACTGATTTAGATTTTCCTTGTACTTTTTTGTCTATTCATATCTTATTAATTTCAGTTAACTTACAATATTATCTTTTACATAATGTTATGTATTCTTTAGTAGACGCATTCGGAGGTATGGTTTTGGCTGAGGATTGTTAAGTGTAAAACACGGATCAGAACTGGTGGTATTTACTATTAGTATTTGGTCTATTTTCATATTATATACGTAGACAGAAAACTACATAATTATAAGTTTCGTGGTCTCTGATCTGTTGCCGACGATTGTTCCATGCATGATGGAAACGTCGGTAAATCCCATGGCTTTCACCTCGAAGCTCATCCTTTGCTAAATGATCGATGTGCTGAAGTTCCCGTTTTTGAAGGTTTTCAACAGTTTTTTATTTTTCCTGTTTGAACACCTCTTCAATTCTCATGATATTTCGAGTAGTCTGCGACAACGGTACATAACCCTTGCAGGGTATATATTTCAAAACAGATAATAATGTTAGTGTGAGGACAAAAAATACTTCTTTTGAGGCATTGCGCTCCATGACGGTAAATTCGATGAGAGTTAATCCAGTACCAACAAAATGATTATGCCAATGCCAAAGCTTTCAACTCCTTATCGTTCTCACCTTCTAATCAGTCATCTATGTTAACATTTTTAGATTGAAGTATGTGAAAAAATACAGTGCAAAAATATTTAGATAGTTTTTAAAGTACAGATCTACATTCCAGATAAAGTAATTGAGTATTTCACAACAACTATCGGTTATCTCAAGAATTTCAATACAATGCTCTCTAGCATTGTTACGAAGGAACTTGAGTATAAAATGGAAAGGCCATCTCGAAAAAAAACTATTCGGTAATAAATCATCGAGGATATCTAAATCAAGCTTCAAAGATGCTCACTGTTGGATTTCTCCTAGCATACGTCTGCTTTGCAGATGCAAAAGGCTTAGGTCTATTTGGTAGCGATGTCTTGGGTCTGAAAAACTATGAGAACTATAAAGATAACCCTATTATCGATAAAAGCTTTCTGCAGCAGCTACCTTCACTAATAGAAGAAGCGAAAAGTTACACTACGGTAAGTACACTTATTTTGCTATGGCCCATTTCATATTATAACTTTCAACAGCTTCCTTTCCAAGGCACAGAAGAAGCTTTTGCACTTTTTGGATATGCTTTATCGCTTTTAAAGTCTCATATCATGGTCTTTTTTAGAGCGTGAAAAAGGAACTACTTACAGATTCAGTTAAATGCAATGCTTTTTCAGAATATGTTATATCAAATACTTTCGGTTGTTAACAATACGCAGCATGAAACATAGCGTAGCAGATGTTAAAAATACTCATTTTCAACATCTTGGGTTTCAATGAATATCAAAGCAAATTATTAAGCTTAAAAAAACTATAGTGAATGTGAAAAAATAACACCATTGAATAGACAACAAAAATATACTTTTCAAACAATGTATCACATTTTCCCTGTTCAATTACTCGGTCTTGAATTACCTACGCATAATGTATCGATTACACCTAACGGGTACAGAGGCGAGGCAGCCTCAAGACCACTTAGCGTTGAGGGTGTTTTTTTTGCACAGCAGAGGTTTCCGAGTAAGTCAGCGCGACCTTAAATGTAGCCTAGAGTACATACCGCTTGTAAGAAAGAATTAAAGGGGAAATCGCGAAAAGATTATAAGAGTATACAGGGTGACTTGTAGTGTCACGTATTCCTGTTAAGGGGTGATAGATTAGGTCAAAAGCAACCGATTTTGTCCTATCATGTCTTATCCAAAAGTTAACCATTTTTGAGTTATTTGAATTTTTTATTCCGATTTCAGATGGTTAAACTTGAAATACAAAAAAACTGCATGCGCTATTCTGAGTTCTTTGTTATGGTCGCATAGTAGACGTTCCAATAGTTCATAATAAGTAATAACATGTTGAAAAGCTACAAACGTTTTAAAATTACGCCTTGTAAATGTATCATTTTCTTTTTTTTTTTTACTAACTTATTCGATAAAAAATGCAATTTCCTGTAAAAAATCTCCTAGTAATGAAATGTGCAAATTATGTAAATAATATCTCTATCTAACAAGCTGTCATTTGAGGTATTAAGCGTTCAATTATCTGAAGTACATGCAGAGAAACAACAATGACACCCACAGAGGCTGGATTTTTAAGGAATTTGTATTACCTGTTTGAACAGGTCGTTACTGTCCTCACAGGACTCGCATGCCATGATTGTTTTATGGCATCGGCTGGACGAGGAAGCGAGCGAGAAGAGCTGACTTAGTGGAGGAGTGTGAGAGAGAGAGAGAGAGCTGTTATTATTCATCATTGTAGTTACGCCATCGCCGCACGCCGAGTGAGAATTAGGTTTAGTTGGTATCAACTACTGCGTACGCGCACACGTTTTACGCAAGCTTATTATTTTCGAGTTTCCCAGTTCATTTCGAGTGGTTTCTTTATCATCATGGCAGACGCAGAAGATCCGCCAGGACCTCGCCATAGCGAGCACGGGCAAACTTTTACAAATGAAGACTAGGCAGACAATGTTCTGTTATGGACTGTGTAAAGGCTGCTACACACAGTGCCGCCGGGCAAGCCGCCGGCTAAGCCGCCGTACACCCGGCGGCATACAAAGCCGCCGGCCTTGCCGCGCGAAGGAGCCGCCGTGGTGTTCCGGCGGGTTACGCGGCTTGCCGGCGTCACTTCGTTCCTGGCATTCGAGAGGTAGTGTTGTGCGGTTTGTGTGTTTAAACAAATTAAAATGTCGTTTAATTTGGACGACGAAGCTGTGCTGCTCTTAATTGAAAGATTTCATGAAAATGATATATTATGGAATCCCAGAAATGCAGCACTTCACTAGCTTTCTATGTGATTGTCACAACCGGAATGATCTTCACGGCTTGTGCCGGCGGCATAGCCGCTCGGCATAAGCCCGGCTGCATTGCCGTCGGCACTGTGTGTAGCAGCTTTAACGGCGATTCTGCAGCTGCCCGCCGTGAATATCGGCAACGTTTCCCGAATCGCCGAACACCTCATGTTACTGTGTTTGACTCTGTGTATCGGCGCATCTGCCAAACCGGACGTGTTCAAAGGCAACATAGTGATGCTGTTCGACCCCGAGTCTCTCCTCCTGAAGATGAAGAGGATATCCTTCGTGTGTTTCAGGAAGACTCTACTACGTCTACGCGCATTGTGGCTGCTCAGTTGGGTATATCACAATACAAAGTATGGTTTACTGTGCATACTGCAAGATTATACCCTTATCACTACACGTCTGTGTATGTGATTGAAGAGGGCGATCCTGCAAGACGATTAGATTTCTGCAGGTACATGTTACATGCAGATACAGCAGATCCAAACTATTTTAATAAAATTCTGTGGACCGATGAATCGAAGTTTGATAAGGACTGGATCACTAACTACCATAATGCTCATGACTGGGCTGATAAAGAAGCTTAAAACCCCCGAAAAATAAGACCGACGGGGTCTCAGAGCCGGTTTTCAGTTAATGTGTGGATGGGCATCATTGATAGATTAGTACGGGCGTATTTAGACTCTAAATTTCCAAATCAATGGATTGGCAGAGGCGGGCCCATTGCCTGGCCAGCAAGAAGCCCAGATCTCACACCGATGTATTAATATGTGTGGGGACATATGAAAAGCCTGGTGTACGATGTTTCGCCCGTACCAATGCGTGATGAATTAATTACAAGGATAATCAGTGCAGCTGACCAAATAAAAAGCCGCTTAACAACTAGAGTTACCAAAAGTGAATTACGTAATAGAATGCGGGCGTGTATTCGTAACAGGGGATTACAATTTGAGCAGAATCTGTAAAATACTAAAGGATATGTAATTAAATAAAACTGGAATTAAAATAATAGCCTTTTATTTATTCTACGTAATTTTCGTTCGTACAACTTTACTCATCTTTTTTTAATTTTATGTCTTTGTACTTGAGTTTGTTGTAACTTTTATACCTCAAATGAAAGCTTGTTAGATAGAGGTATTATTAACATAATTTGCACATTTCATTACTAGGAGATTTTTTACAGAAAATTGCATTTTTTATCGAATAAGTTAGTAAAAAATAAGCGTAATTTTAAAACTTTTGTAAGTTTTCAACATTTTATTACTTATTATGAACTATTGGAATGTTCGATATGCGATGATAACAAAAAACACAAAATCAAACATGTAGTTTTTTTGTATTTCAAATTTAACCGTCTGGAATCGGAATAAAAAATAAAAAAATAAAATTCAAATAACTCAAAAACGGTTAACTTCTGGATAGGACATTTTAGGACAAAATCGGTTGCTTTTGATCTAATCTATCACCCCTTAACAGGAATGCGTGACATTACTAGTCACCCTGTATAAGAACAATAAAATTAGTTTTAAAGAGATCAAAGACAGGTGCTACTAACACTTTTCAGATAATTTCATTTTAAAAATTTTGATGAGTTTGCTTCACTACTTAGAACGAATGTAGTCATTCCTTATGTCACATGATTCCCATGTTTTGTAGTTTGATTAAACGTAAAGCACCAAACATAAACACTTACTATAAGATGGTATGCGCGTGTGCATTTGAAATGTGATTGTATGACTTGCACCCCAATTAAATGGTAGTTTCATTTTACAGCATTTAGCGCATTTGGATTAAGAACTATTGACTGACCCCATTTTTCCCACAAATTAAACCTTTTGGTTTTGTTATTTCGGCTCCTTTCGTTTGTCTCCGTTACTACGCATCAGTTCCCAAACAATTACAGAAACAAATTATTTGTTATAATTTAGTTCATGATTTTTGAGAGTTAACCAGAAAAAGTGACAGGGTTGGAAAGTGTAAACTACAACTTTAGTTGTTTATTTTTTTCTTAATTTTTTTACAATCTAGATTATGGAGATGAACCTTTTGTGGCAGGTATTGGTGTCTGAATTTGATATAGTTTAAAGCAAAAGTCAACTCCATGCGGTCATTGGGACCTCTCCAATCAATGAGAAATTATGAGCGTGTCGGAGTCTGTACTGACAAATTTCACTCACACAGGAACTACCACATTTAACGAAGTAATAGAGAGTTTCGTGATCGAGTTCTTGTTTTAATCTAAAGAGGCCTAAACCACATCTACGGTCTAGCTTGTTTCATACTGTTCACCAGATAAAGTTACAAAGTTGCTAAATAAAAACGTTTTGTAGTCATATTTGATCGTTTTCTACCATTTCGATTGTAAGAAACAGCTTTTTACCAATATTTTTACTACTAGATGTAAACAAAATATAAAAAGGTGCTTACCGTTAATTTGAAAATTAGTTACAAGTACGGCTCTACCACTTATAAGTACTGTTCGAAGCTTGGTAAAATGTTTCATAGAAAGTCTAGGTATTGTAAACCGTCCAGCCGATTCGGGAAAATAAAAGGTCCAATAAGTATACCATTTACCATGCCAAATGATTACTGAAAATGTGACCAAGGGACTACGTGAGGATTTTTCAATGACGACACATAACTATTTCGGAAGATATTCATGCTGTTATCCGTGAAGGATGATTCGTCCGTGACTAATATGAACTCACAAAAACGCACTCTTGCAGCAAAATCCTCGGCTTGGAGTGCTTGAACAACAGGGTACAACCCATCGTCGCATAGCGTTCACTACATTTTGATTTGGGAAACTTGCACTTGTCTAGCCACTGCCCTAGTGCTTGTTGAAAGATTTTCATTCTAGAAGATGCAATACTCATTCTTCAGATTGCACCATTCGGAGTTGTCTAGGTCCCTCATTGAGCCCTTGTCGACATTCCTGTAAAATGACTTGCGTCAATAGCTGCTTAACGTCTGAGAAAGCGATCTGCATACACTCGCTAAGCATCTGTAACATTTTTTAGATGCTCACCATAAATGAGTCATGTTCTATATTGCTATACGGGTGTACCATTTTTGTTTTTACGTCCCTCGCCTACTGGCGGGGTAGTATTGCAATCGATAAGAATTTCAAAAGGCGATATGTTTTTGGAATGTTATATGACATGTACATCACAAAAACATGTCATTCTCTTCCATCCGTTT